AACGGGCGAATAATGAAATGGAAAACCTGGTCGTTCTACACGAGGTTGATTTGAGTTGAATGGGGTTGTGGAGGAACGAGATAAACTAGAAGAATCTGAATCGCACTCACGGTGAGAGGATTTCTTGCTGAAACCCAGAGAGGCGGTCATCCTAGAGAACGCAGACATGCCTCCACCACGAGGAGCAGAGCCAACACAACCAACAGCACCGTGCACCTGGACTTGTTGTGCTTGGAGTACTGAATAATTGGAGGTATTCTGAGCGCATGCCCTGCTTTTATTATATTCCTTATCCGGTGGAAACCGGTAATCAATGTCGTCTGGGGTTAGCACCACGTCTTTCTTTGGACACGCCGCTTCCCCATCACTGGTCGACTCAACAGCAACGAAGGAGCAATATTTCCCAGAGACTTGGAACTGAAGTCCAAGACGAACTGCCTCTCGTTTCACAATAGCGTCCTTCTTGCTTGCATTCTCGTCCATAATCAATTGTCCCTTCGAATTCTTAGCATGGTATATCCAGCCTCGACCGTCTTCTAGCTCGCGCGTTATCTTCCGGGCGGCCAGTTGATGGATATTTAATCCCTGGCCAACATCTTCAATAGGGATTCTCAACGTTAAAGGACCATGCTTTGAGGTGCCCTTGAGAACCAGTGCTTTAGGTGTTGAACTAGGAGCATCCGGCGAGAGTAGAAAATAAACTGTGGTTCTGTTAAATGGGTAGAGAGAAGGTATTTTGTACGGTGCTTGGAGCAGCTTGGGAGACTGAAGCTTCGGAAGATTTGCGTCAACTGGGACACTGTACGACTGGATATCAGGTTCCTTGTAAGAAGGGTCAAACAAAGAGATTGGCTCCTTCGTATCCTGTCCTTGGAAATCCACGTCCATGGTGTCTCCAGAAGGTCTTTGCGGTGGATGAAAGTTGTCTCCAGTGGGAGCTTCATTCGATTTTTCGATAATCTCAAATTCCTCGCTACCATCATTCTCAAACGCCACTTCAGCAGTATAGTCTTTAATATGTGGAGTCAGAGCTCCTTTGAGCATGCGAACCACTTTTCTATCGAGTGGTTCGTTGTCGTTGACAAATTGCGCGAACCCATTCCCAGCTTTTGCGATGCCCTCGATGAGGGAGTGAGAAGCACCATCCCCGATGCCCAGAGTAAAGAAGCGAATAGGTTTATCCGACGCTGCCTTGTGAATGTACTTAAAGAGTGTTTCCTGATCCCAAATGGCTCCATCAGTGAGCAGCAGAATTTCCAAATCCAAATCCTTGAACCGGTTCTCCACCGTGGCCTTAACTGGCTTGAGCATTTCTGTTCCTCCAAAATCAGCAGCCACTGAATCTACGAATTTCAACGCTGCTCTGAGGGAGGAATCATCGTAGCTTCGACTCTTCTTCCACATGAAGGAGTATGAAGAGCCAAAGGAACAGACGTTAAACGTGACACCAACGGGAAGCGACTTGAGAAAAACTCTCAATGCTGCTTGAAGGGTACCAATCTTTCCATCCATGCTCCCGCTTCGATCGATTATAAACACTATTTCCGGGCTAATAGGTGGGATGTTGAATTTCGGAACGAGAGTTGCCATAAGCGCTCGCTGGTTAGGGATGCTTGGATGTGTTTCCAGGAAACCACTTGGAATATCCTGGTCCTTTGTGTTGACAATCAGCACAAAGTCTTTATCGAGAAAGACATTCTCTTGCTGTATTGCGAGCGTTGCAGAAGCGAGGTTGGTTTCAAATACATCTTGCGAAGTAACTGATGTCCGGCCTAGCGTGATCGCTATTGGATGACTCGGAGATTGGAGCCTCCGGATGATCGACCCTTGATCCACTGATACATCCACAGTGATGTTGATGGCGCCTTTTCGCACAAGGGCGACCAAGAACTCGCTCCGTTCATGAGGTTCGACAGAAGTAATGCCGTAGCGGGGACAGATGATGCTTGGAATGCTAAATCGGATGCCGTCAGCCTGAGCATCGTGTTGCAATTCGCCCAGATAGGTAATCTTCACAACCGCTTTTGAATCCACTGGGATTCTTCCGATGCTGCTGGTAAAGGTGTCAGACGCGGCGACTGATTGTTCCAGTAGGGCGGCTGTCTGCCCTTTTTTCAGGGTCTCTTGGTATTCCGCCTTTGCTTCCTCACGTTCCTTGACGATCCCACGTATTACTCGATTTCCGATCTCGCATGTGAATTCCACGACACTGACGCCATCAACCAGAGGGAAAGTGTACTTTACATCTTTCAGTTCTCCTGGCGTTGGATTAATAAAGGTCTGAGTCAACGTGGTTCTAGAAGAGGCGGAGAGAATGGTGGAATGAACTTTAAGATCAACTTGAGGGAGAAGATTTCTTTGTGAAGCAGGACCCAAAAACCAACAACCACATTCCGGTACGTCGCCCGCGAATGGATTCCGGTACATAGCTGGTCCTATGTTTTTGTTGATAAATTAAAAAAACACCCCTTAGGAACAACTAATGGATGTAGCACTGCGAGGGATAAACACCTTGGGGAAATGCCCAAGACGGAACGGAACCTCTTGTATATTGATTTCGCCCAGGGCAATATTGAAAAAAACAAATCAATAAATAAATATAGACAAAAAAAATATAGTGTCAAAACATCAGGGGTAATAAAAAAGTTTTCAAAGGATGAAGAAATGTTGTCCAGAAGGGTCCAGGTGTACTCTGTAATACTTAATATACCTCTCAGGGAAGAAAGAATCGAGCAGCCTTAAATCCCAGATTGAGAAGCAGTAAACTATTCAACTCTCGATATCGTTGTTAGTTAACTGGATAGCTCTCAACTGGAGACTCAACATTGCCTGACAGCCCTGCTCTATACGAGCGTGGGCGTCCACGGCGCTGCGATTCAGCCACCACCATTTCGACGACGGTGTTAAAGCACGAAAGAAAGCCTTCCTAGGGCGTTTGTTGATTGGCTAGTTCCCCGCAGATGTTCCCCCTTGGGGTTCTGCTCTGCTTATTTATGCCTGACTGTATTCTGTTGTCTGTTGTTGTATCTTTGCTGCCTGGGGTTTGGAGGAGGATGAGGAGGGGAGGAGGAGGGGGGGGGGCGAAAAGGAGAGAGGCGGGGTGGGGTGAGGTAACTAATCGACGCGCTGGACTCCCCCCCAGCCCCAAGAGACAAAACATTCCCAGCTCTTTTCAGGAAACGATGAAGGTTTTGGGACCAAATGACTCATCTATCCCCAAACTACATCTTAAAACGAAATCGCTTACACTTCGTGTCAGCATTCAAGGGGCTTGACGTCATTGACATCTCCGGCCTGGCCTTGTTGGAAGGGTGTCATCGAGATTTTCAACTTTACCACACCACGGTTGAACATCAAACGGGCCTCTCATGATATCATATATGTGTACATGCCAGGCCATACGGCAGGAAGTTAGAAGGGTTGCTTTGCCCTTAAAAGAGTTTTGTCCTGCCAAGTCTGCCTATGCTCGCGATAGCTTTTCATGGACGTCATCCTGAGAGACCAGAACGTTGGTGTTGGGTGCTATTTTTATGAGAATCTCCTACATTTCTCGTAGCATATTGTTACCAGAGCAGAAAATACACCATAACTAATCAACGTCATGACGTTATTTACCAATATGTTTTACAGCAGAATACCATACCCTGCTGCTTCATGTCGGATCGTTTTGATACTATGACGTCGTCTTTTCCCGCTGTATAACAGGTACATTACACACACCTTGGTTGGTCGCTTTTGCTTTTCGAGCTGGGGGACGCGCAAGCTCAGCGTGGTGAGTAACCCCCTGGTTCCGACAGGTGGCTAGGGCATTCAAAGAAAACAGCTGAGGGCCGGCCATCGACAGTCTTTTTAAGTTCTCAAAATAAAAGGGGGGTTTGATTCAATTCCTATTTGCAAAAGTACAACAGGGCAATAATATATATATCGAATCGGAAGCAAAATCAATCTCTTAAAAACAAGATATCGAAGAATATCGAAAACCAATAGGGGAATCTCTTCAGTCACATCAATACTCAAGATTCGAGGTTCATCAATGGTGTAATGTGAAGGAGAAGAATTTAACAAGTATTAAGAAAATTTGGGCACGTATCAACGGTGATATGGTGCCGGCAGATGGGAAAATGGGGAAAGAAAGGAGCGTTTAGGTGAAAAACGGTGTAATAATATATAATGTATATTTGTTTTCCTTTCTCCTCCTATCCATTAGGTCTGGGAGCAGAGAAGAAAATACAGGAAAAAGTAGCTTTTTGCTGGCAATTAACTTCTTTCAAAAAAGAATTAACAAAACAAAAAACCAAAAAAAGAGGGGGGGGGGGGGGGGGGG